CATGTAAAAACTCTTAAAATTTTATCAAGTCTAACTAAAAATATAAAAAAATGACAGTATGCCATAGCCAAGTGTGATTTATCTCAGGAATGGCATAACATTTTAAAATCAATCAAGGTAATTTATCATAATAGCAAAAGTAAAATGAAAAAAAACCCCAGAAATATTTCAATAGATACATAAAATGCAAAATCCAATAATCATTATTGGTACTAAAAAAAAGAAAAGAAAGAAACACTTCATTAAGACAGAAATAGATAGGAAGTTCTTCAACTTTATGTGGTCACCCATGAAAAGACAACAGGTAGTCGTATACTTTATAAAGAAAGACTGATCAGGAACAGGATGAATACGTACTCTCAGACTTCCTTTCAAGATTGTAGGGGAGGTTTTAGCAAGCAAAAAACTGAACACAATGGTGCACACCTGTAATATCAGCTATTTGAGAGGATGAGGCAGGAGGATTACAAGTTTAAGGCTAACCTGGACAATTTAGCGAGACCCTATCTCAAAATACAATAAAAAGGGCTAGTAGAGCACTTACTTGCCTAGCATATATGAGATCCTGGCTTCAGTTTCTAGTACTGAAACAAAGAAAACAAAAGGAAGAAGAAAAAAAAGAAAGAAATACAAAGCATCCAAATTGAAATGAAACTATACTTGTAAATGGCATTATCTTCTATGTAGAAAAATCTGATGGAATCTTAAAAAATGCTACCAGAGCTAATAACTGAATGTAGAAATATCTTAAGCTACAAGATCAATATATACAAATATCAATTTTATATACTAGCAATGAACAATCAAAAATTTTAGTAAAAATATAACTTATGAAAGCATCTGGAAGTATGATAAACTTAAGGATAAATCTTAAAAAAATATGAAAGACCTCTAGAGTAAAAACTATATAACATTGCTGAGAGAAATTTGGGAAGACTTCAATAAATGGTGAGATATATTGTGTTCTCCATGAAAACTCAACATTGTTAAGGTGTCAACTCTTCTCAGATCTGTCTCTGGATTCAATGCATTCTCAAAATTCCAGTAGGTTTTTTTTTTGTTGTTGTTTTTTTTAAAGAAATTGACAAACTGATTAGAAAATTCAAATATAACTGCAAAGACCTAGAATAGCCAACACAACTCTGAAAGAGAGCAAAGTTGGAGAACTAATATTACTTAATTTTAAGACTTTTTATAAAATTATAGTAATCAAGACCATGTAGTTCACAGTAAATCAGGAGGCTGAGGCAGAAGGAGCACAAGTTTGAGACCAGCCTGGACAACTTAACAAGGCCCTGACTTAAAATTAAATAAAAAGTGCTGGGGATATAGTTCAGTGGTAGGATGTGTGAATAGTATGGCATTTGAATAAATATGAACAAATAGATCAGTGGAAGAGAACACACACCAAAAATACATTCACCTATGTGATCAATTTCTCCTCAAGAAAAGTAGAAAGACAATTTATTAGTGAGAGGAAAGTCTTTTTAATAAATAACACCTAAAAAATTGAATGTGCCAAAAAAGAAACTTCAGTTTAAATCTCATAATACACACAAAAACTAACCCCAAAAAACTATAGACCAATATCAAAACAAAATTATGTAAGCTCATGAAAGGATGTTCAATTTCACTAATGATTAGGGAAATGCATATTAAAACCACAGTGAATTAAAATAATAAAATAATTGGGCAGTTTCTTAAAAAGTGAAACATACACTACTGTATCATCCAGGGATCCTACTCTTGGGTATTCAATGAAGAGAAATGAAAGCATATGTCTACATGAAGATCTATACATATGTTCAAAGCAGTTTTTTTTTAATAGCCAAGACTTTTGATACACACCACATGAATGAATTTAAAACACTTGAGCTAAGTAAAAATAATGCAGAAAAAGAGCATGCATGCTGTATAATTCCACTTACACCAAATTCTAGAAAATTCACTCTGTAGTATGGGGGTTGTCTTGAGAGAGGTGGAAATTGATTGGAGAGGGATGGAACATGCAGGTTACATACAAATATTAGAAAATATTGGAGGTAATGGATATGTTCATGATCTTGATTATGACAATCATTTCACAATGCAAAAACATGTCAAAATGTTGTTAAACTGCATCTCAATAAAGCTGTTAAAAACGAAACCAAAAAAGCTGGTACATTTAGACAACAGAAATCAATGTAGCAGTTTTAAAGAATGAGATAAGGCTAACATGTATTGAAGACTTCTAAGATACAGTGTAATTTTGTTTTCAATCAAAAAAGGTATGACCCTCCTCTTCCAAAACAAATATATAATGACCTATTGATTCCAACTCTGGAGATCAGTCCTATGATAACATTTCGGGAAATGTTAAAGAATAAATGTACAAACTATTCATCAATTATTATAGTATGTTAATGAAACAACTTAATGAAAAAGTTGCAAAATACTACTTGTATTAATATGTTTTTTAAGTCTAGAAAACAATATCATAAAATGAATACATTCTTTCTCTGAAATATCTGAAAGTACATACATTGGTCAATAACAATTGCCTCTGGGGTCAGTTCTAAATGGGGAGGTTGGGCACGCAGTCCAAGGGAAGGGCTTGTGTAGGGGGACTTCCTTTCTAAGATTCTGAATTGCAAGAAGGATTGTGTGTAATAAGTCTATATTTCCTTTTAAATTAAAAAAACACCTCAATGACAATTTTTAAAAATGTAAATAATGACCCATATTTGATATTCAGGGTCATCATAACAGATGTGGTGGTGGGCTGGTTTTGCAAAGAACTTGCGAAGATACGCACCCTTTTCCGTGCTTCAGCTTTCTGGAAGCACTCATGCTGTATGAAAGTAGCTGCAGCAGAAATCCTGGCTGGCGGCGTGTGGTCTGCATCAAGCATACTTACTGCTCGTTCCAGGGTCATCTCCACGTCTGCATTCCTAGACAAACAGTCACAGATTCAGCCAGGCTCTAAATGGCTCCCTCCTGCCTATCAATCTGGTCTTCCAGAGAGCATTCAGGGAATATTGTGAAACACCTAAACTATCTGAGCCTTGACTTTCCTTCATACAAAGAAAAATCAGCACCTGAGATTGGATGCAAATGGCTGAAGTCTTACGCTCCATTAAGACTGGCCTCTGAAGATGTTGTTGAAGAGATTCATAACATGTACCAAAGAAATGGCACTTTTAAGTATGTATAGTATGAAAATTATACCTGCAAAGTGACCTTAATGACCCAGTTAAGACTGTTTAGATGGAATCTAAAATAAATTTGTTCAAAGAAATAAAAATTATTTCTATTCTGGTAATGGCACACCTATGGGTAGAAACATCTCCTTTCTCAAACTGCTCAGAATCTGTTATTTCACCCCAAAATAAATTAGAAATAGAAGCATTTCTAAAATGCATATAATAGTATGGAAACAGTGGAAGCCTGAAAAATGGAGTTCTGGCTGGGTATGATGGTACATGCCTGTAATCCCAGTAACTTGGGAGGCCAAGGCAGGTGGATCACAAGTTGGGGGTCTGCCTGGGCAACTTAGCAAGACCCTGTCTCTAAATAAAAGGTAAAAAAGGTTGGCAATGCAGCACAGTTATAGAGCATCCTGGGTTCAATCCCCAGTACAGCCAACCCCCCCCCTCCAAACCAAAAACCAAACTAAATCAAAACCAAAACTCAAACCCAAACAAAACAAACACACTGGGTTTTATTTTGTTAAAATAAGTCGTGCTGGTGTGACAGAATACATCAGGAAAGGTAATCATTAAATGCAATGATAGATACCTTTATTTCTTAAAAAAATATTCATTCTGTTACCATTTGCCACTGAAATGACATTCAGTTTGTGCCTGTCCCAGTGGCTTACTTTTGTCCTTTACTAGTTGCCAATAATGATGAAGCCTAAAGTAGTTTGACACAGGGAAACTCACTGAGAGAGGACACCTAAAATTGCTACTTATAAAATCATAACTCCCCAAAGCCTCATAGCATTGTGTTTTTTCTCCCTTTTTATTTCTGCCTGGAGGGTGACTAGCTTAGTCTATTATCAGCTTGGATGTTAGGTAATGAGGACACCAAAGAAACCTGGAGAGGGTGCTTTCCACTCTCTGCTGACAAGCAAACACCCTGAGTAAATTCTCTTTGCCATTAGGCTAACCCACTAACACCTACCCACATGCACAGAAGTGAGTGGGTACAGTGTTGTGAATGGTGTATTTTTGTGGGGTGGGTATGATGTGCTTGAGGGGGAAAGAAGTAATGGGCTTCATGACTGAAAAGTAAACCTGCTGCTCCTGACACACATGTTCCAACACAGAAGTGTTACCTCATGAGCAGAAGGGTATTAAAAGTGGAGCATTTCTGGCATCTATACTGAGAATTATATAATGATGTCATATTTGAGAATGTTGTGCCTCAGGAGTTAATTTTAATTGGTAAAAAGAATGCAGGCTATTATGCAAAACTAGAAGTTAAAATCATTTTTATTTAAAATAAACACACGTTTTAAAAGAAATGGAAATACTTTGTGGACTTGAATGGCTTTTCAGAGAAATCATAACTCCAAAAGTTCTCAATCTCAATGGTAACCGCAAGCATTTATCATCCAGGATTCCAGGTGTTTACCTAATGAAAGATCCTTCATACCGTGAGAATAGCCTTCTGTTTAATACAGCCTTTTTTTTTTTTTTAAGATTCAGCCATTAATCAATCTTATAAAGCCATAAAGGATTCAAGGAAAGTTTGATTCTCCCATCTTCAACCCCCACAAAATAATTCCATTACTCTAATCCTTTATATTCCTGAACATAATTCATGAAGAAGCTCCACATTCATTCCCAGTTGACCCAATGCCAGTTCACTTTGTCACTAAAAACAATTCCTAACTAAATGAAGGCTTACTCAGTAAGGTTTTTCTACAGCTACTGGTGTGTCAATTTTCTGTGTTATTATTGTCCATAAAGTCCCACTCTGTGAAAGGCACACCTTCTGACCCCAGTCTGGCTCCATTTCTTGCATCTCTCCCCTCTTTCTTACTCCTCCTTTGATCTCCTACCCCGCCCTCAATCACACCAGACTTTTCATCTTTCTCTAAACACTGCAACCTTCTTCACAAGGTGCCTTTTTGATTTTTCTAGGAAGCGCATGCTTCTATTTCATTGCTATCCATTACTCAAGACTGGAATGAGATACCATCACTTTGGTAAAATCTTTTCTATGCCTCTACCCGCTGGAGCTGTTCCTTTCTTCTCCTGCAGCATTCCTCTACTGCATTTTTTTTCTCTCTTCCTCCTTTCTTCTTTCCTTCCTTTTCTACTTTCCTTTCTTTATTCCTTCCCATTCACTGAAGAACACTTCTGGAAGCCAGCAGAAGTGTGGCTTAGAAGATGACGTTGGGGTGGCAGGTGAGGATCAGGAACAGCAGTTACTCTCTGGCCCCATGTCCCCTGAACTACCAGACTGTAGATGAGTCTTTTCAACAGCTTTAGTTCAAATGTTAACACGATATCAAAATAAAGGGGCTGGGGAGGTGTAGGTTAGAAGTAGGATACTTGTCTAGCACTGGGGTCAATCCTCAGCACCACAAAAACAAAAACAAAACAAAACAACAAAAGAAAATTTAAGATGAGGTCAGTATAAATAAAAACGTAAAAAGGTATGTGAAATACCACTGGCTCAAATGTGAGATGTCACAGCGGGGAAAAAAAGAGTAATTTTTTTTTTTTTTTTTGTGAGTACCATCTCCCAATAACCAGGACTTCTGCTAATAACAAAGCCCTGTCCTAGACTGGATCTTCTGACATCAGAATATGGCTATATTTTCTGAAGGTCGAAAAAATATCAGCTAAGGAATGGACAGCTAATGCTGGGTGTGGTGGTGCATTACTTGTAATCCCAGTGGCTCGGGAGGCTGAAGCAGCAGGATTGCAAGTTTGAGGCAAGCCTTAACAATTAGCAAGGCCCTTAGCAACTTAGTGAGACCCTGTATCAAAATAAAAATGAGTTGGGGATGTGGTTCAGTGGTAAAGTGCCCCTGAGTTTAATCCCCAGTAACCAACAACAAAAAGAATGGATAGCTCACTGAAGTGTTGTTGCTTGATACTTTGTAAAATGCGAATTCCCCTACCTCCAAAAGAGTGATGAAGGTGCTGCTTTGGAAAGATAATTCTGGAGGAGACATGTGGACATGTGTTTATAGAAACAAAGAGACCGTTTTAAGGGCCCTGGAAGAGTCTTAGCTGGGATGATGAAGCCTTAAACTGGGTTATTAAAATGGAAATGTAAACAATGATGCAGTTGGAAGAGACCTGAAAAATCAAAGAACTAAAGCGACTAGTGATTCAGAGGATGTAGAGGAGAGTCCATGTGACCTGTTTTCTGCTCTAACTTGCTCTAGGTCACAAACTTGCTGGTGATCCTACTGGAGCTCCCTGCTCTCTCCTAGTCTCCTCAACAGAGCGCACTGCTCTGTTGTACTCTGAAGCCCTGCAGGCACCAGCATGTACCTCACGACCTTGCACTTACAACATGCCCTACTTTCTTTTCCCTAGACCTTCATATAAACCACTCAATTTTTATATTTATGATGCTGAGGGAAATGCTGGTCAAACTGGAAGAACCTAACATCTGTTATGAATCCAAGAGGTTCAGAAATCATATTTTTAGAAAAATTCATCTGGAACTTTCTACTTTGTGATTCTTTTAAACCTTTCTCATTGGTCTGATTTAGAACAAGTGATGACTATCTCAGTTTTACTCAGGTCTCAGTTTTCAGCCCTATTAGTAACTGATCGGCCATTCTTTTGGAATGACGAATCCATGGTTTGCTACCTTATGTCATTAGGTAGGTTTATGGTTGAATCTAGCTACTTCATAGGAATGTTCCACATGTATGAAAGAATATTCCTTTACATATAAGAATTTGGGTAAGAATAAAAAAGAATTTTTTTTTTTTAATGGAACTTAATAGTTTGAAAGGTGAGACAGTGCAGGCAAGGACAGCCCAGAGTGCTTCAGGGTACACCCTGGGGAACTGATAGGAGAGGGAGCACACCAGAAGCATAAGAAAGGCAGGCCAGACTCTGCCTCAATCATCATTTTTCTTCATAATAGAAAATATCTCTGGCTCCCTCTCATCTCCATAGAAAGCAAAAATTTCCCTTCAGAAATCAGAGAAAAGGGTTAGTATCTATGGTTTGGTATCTAGAACTTGGAGAATCTCAGGCAAACATTCCTTACTCTTTAAATTTGGGGGCAGGGGAGGGGTGCTGGAGCTTTTAACTCATGGCTTTACGCAAGATAGGCAAGTGTTCTACCACTGAGCCACATACCAGCCCACCCTTATTTATTTATTTATTTATTTTGTACCAGGGATGAACCCATGGATGATTAACCACTGAGTCATATCCCTAGCCCTTGTATATATTTTATTAGAGACAGGGTCTCACTGAGTTGCTTGGGACTTGCTAAATTGCTATCCTCCTGCCTCAGCATCCCTAGGATTACAGGTGTGTACCACTGTGCCCAGCTCCCCACCCTTTATTTTAAATTTCTTGACCTCTAGTGTTCCTTCTATTCTTTGAAATATCATTAAATATTATAATGAATTACCCTGGACATTAAAACAAGAATTTGAGCAACAAAAGTGCTAGATGTCAAAAAGTAAAGAGTTTGTATTTTTTCCTTCCCTTTTTAATTTCTGTATAGAACCATCATGGAATGGCCTCTGTTTTAGGGGTGCTGAGAACATAAAGATGAATGAGCCATTGGTAAGAAGCTCAAAGTCTAGAGAGATAACCGATAAGTAAATGAATAACCACAAGAGTTACTCTGATAGAGACATCCACACAATGTTGCTATCTGGGGCACATAAGCTAGATTGGGAAGGGAATGGCCAGGAAAATGGTGATGTTGCAGTTAAATCCAGAATTATGAGCAGCCATACAAAAACAAAGCTGCATGTGAAGGGCTGAAGTGGGGAAGAAAGTGGGGGAGGGTGATGTGGGGGGAGAGGAGGAGGAAGAAGGGAGAGAGAGAGATCAAATGAGAGTGAATGCACAAATATCTTACATTAAGGAAAATAGCAGGAGGTTGCAAGTGGTTTAAGCATGGGTGTGTTTGAGGACGGTAGTCATGAAGAGTGGAGAAGAGTACAAAGAGAAGAGACTGGAGTGAGAAGCAGAGATGAAAACACCTTGGGTTTTGTATGCCATGCTAAAAAGCTTGACTACTCAGTGGAATTATGCAAAGGTGGTAAACCAGGGAAAGAAACAATCAGGTGTGAGAAGATCATTTTGACAGTCCTAGACAACAGTTCTGTGCAAGACCAGTGGCAGAGAGACTTGTGCAATGGAGATGGAGAAAATGATGAAAATGTAAGACCAATTAAAGAGGTTAAAATATGGCTTGGTGATAGATGACTATGGAGAAAGATGATAAGAATGACCTCCAGGTTTGTAGCTGAAAGAGCTCAGTAGGAAGAAATGCCTAGGAACAGAAGGCCTAGAGGAGCTAGCGAATTTGGTTTAGGATATGCTGAATTGGGGATGTCCAGGAATTTGTTAAATCTACATAAAGGTCTACAGGGTAAAAGATTAAAGATAAAAACTTTTGGAATCGGGAGGATACCAGTGAGATACCAGGGCCTCCCAGGAAAAGCACCAAGACCCAGAGAGAAGGGTTACTGGAGATGACTTCTTTGGGCCTGAAAAAAAGAAGCACTTTTAGAAGATTAAGAAGACTGCAGAAGTGTGTCACGGTGACATAAAAGACTAAATGCGTGTCTGTTTAGGATGTAGCTAAAAAGCAGTCACCGCTACATTTGTCAGGAGAATGTTCCAGTGAGGTGGTGGGGACAGAAGCCATATTGCAGAGGGCTGATGAGTCTGAGAAGTGACGGGCTGGTTTAGAATGTCTGAGGGCACAGAGTTTGAGAAATGGGATGATAGCTTTGCTATTGTTAAAATGATTTTGCTAAAAATGGTGTTTATCACAAATCCTAGGCTGTAGTAGACATTTAATAAATTCTAAATTACCATTTAAAAGTCCTTATCAGTATTTTCCTCCATAAACAATTATCTGATGTATTTTTCCTTCTCTAGAAATGTGTTCATATTGACAAAGATCTGCTTCCTACCAGAAATGTTAGAAGTTTCATACAAACATTTGATTTATGAAAAGTATTTCTTGCTTTAACACCTAACACCTTTTTCGAAAGTAATTTATCACCATAGCTTGCCTAATCAATAGGTACACTACACATTTTCATTTAAGAAATGACTACCAATAAGCAATTTTAAAATCAAACAATCAGATAATATTTTGCCTTAATGATTCCAAATCATTATTTTAGGAGTTACTGATTTCATCACTGATCCATTTACAAACATTCTTTTAGTAACTTCCTCAGTTTACCCAATTTGTACTTGAGCATTAAATTTAAATAAGGGTTAAGATCCAAATTAGTCAAACCATAACATAAATAGGAAAGGTAAAGGAATGACTTTGAAAATTCAATATTTTGATTATTTAGTTTTGCAAAAAAAAAAAAAAAACAAACCTCCAAATCCATAGTACTGAAATCAAAAGTAAAGGTATCAAGTATCAAAGGAAAGAAAGAGACATCTAGAAATCAACTGCCTCTCCTTAGCTCTCGGAGTCCTTTTACATTAATAATCATGCAAATAGCACTTGAGGCACACACTCAGCACCAGAAGTAAACATTTGTGCCTTTTCTTTCCTTTATTTCCAGGACTGATTGAAAAAAAATGCATATAAAATTATCCATTTTTTGGTCTATGCTGGAGTTTGCTCTTGATAAGAGCAGATTTTCACATAGCCAAGGAGCAGCGATCCCTTTAGCCAGCATCTAATCTGGAACAGATGGGCTAAACGTCACATTTTTGCACAAAGCTGTCATGTGAGCAGGTAGCTTGGCCCCTGGTTCCTGAGGTAAACAGGCTGATCTGTCAATTAGGCAACTGCCCGAAAAGTCATTATTTTAATCACTTATCTCTGTCAGCCTTTCTCTCCAGCCCTAGAAGTGCCAGCTCACACTGTCAGGGCTGTGGGAACAGAATGTGCTGGCACCGACTGAGTGGTAGATTCAGAAGACTCACCCAAGCTGGGAGTCGACAGTGCTTCTCTCCACGAGCACATTCCCACTTCCTGCTGCTGCCACCTGGCCCACGGTCATGTGCGTCCTTCTCCCACCAGAGTCCACAGTGACACTGGGCCCGGCTTCCCTCAACGTGCGGGTGCTGTGGAAGGAGCTCTGGTGCCAGGAAGACCTGGCAGCTCTGTTCTGAGTGACGGGCTGCAGGGGCACCAGAGGCCTCATCTGCCCTGAATTCCAGTAGTTTTCCTTCTCCAAGAGGTTGCCCATACTGTGACTGGTCCCCGGCCTGGGGTAGGTGAGCACCGAAGGGTTGACAGGGACACTGTCAAAGACAGTGTCACTAACAGACCCATACTGGTGTTGTCTGTGGTAAGTGTCATAGTGGCGCTGTCTGCTCACAGCATGGTTGAACCCCACGATTTCCGAGCGGGCATATCTGGGTGGCATGAGGAGGGTGGAGCGCCTGCTGTCTTGGTGGCGCAGTGTGTGCCCAGGCTGGGTTCTGTGGCTGTAATGGTAATCGCTGTGAGCGTAATGAAACCTCTCAGGGCTGCTGTCTGGAGAGATCTCCAGTCTCCTCAGAGGCTGCCTCAAGGATCTTTCTTCCACTGACTTCTGGGAGCTGTACTGTGCCGTTCCTCGCCCCCAACGACCCCCGTAAGTGGCAGTTGTGCCAGCCTGCAGGAGAGAAAAATAAAACTTCAATGAAGCATAAATCTGTTTTTGTCTTTGCTTAAGACTAATTACTGTGGATTATTCCTCAAAATGTCAGTTTTTCAGAATGGAGAAGTTGGCCCCTTTCTGGGTGAAGTCTTTTTTTTTTTAAAAAAAATAAGACTTGGTTGACTTGAGTCATTTTTACTTGCGTTAGGATTTAATACTGTTTAAAATCCCCAGGTTCCCAGGGTGTCCCCATAAGTCAATTTTCTCAAAATTGGTATTCAGGAAATAATACTTTGGAGAGGTAAACCTCAAAAGCAACAATCTAAAAATGTTTGAAAATGTTTTCCCAGCAATTTGACAACTATCAACATTCTTTGATACCCTACCTTTAATACATCGTAGGTTTGAGTGACAGGGGAACGGCCTCCGACAAAATCATTTTCAACCAGGTGAAGGTTGTAGACATACTCAGGAACACTGCTGGTTCGGTGAAGATTTCCTGCAATCAAGCAAATATTAAAATATAGAATATCAATACTTATAGGCTGTATATTACATTTTAAAATCTAAGTCATTAAGGCCAATTACAAACATTAAATATATATTAATATTTTAAATGCTGGTTTAACACCACCAAGGAAAGCGGCAAACCATCAAAGGTTATCAAAACATTCTATTAGAAAAAAAGGAGGGCTGGGGATGTAGCCTAGGGGTAGATCGCTTGCCTAGCATGCCTGGGGCCTTGGCTTCAATCCTGGTACCATATAAGGCAAACATTTAAAAGACAGGAAGAGGAAGAAGAGGAGATCATAGAAATCCAAAACTGGTCGTTACAATGCTGAAGAATTTGAGAATCACACATTGGTTCAGATGGTCTGTTCTTCAACCTCTGGTTTCTCAAGTTAGGGGAGAATTCTGTTAGCACTGCAGGAAGTCAGAAACTTTTTATAGTAAGTAGGTGTAGGCAATAAATATAATGGTGACTCAACACTACTAGATAAGACAGCTTGTATAAACAACAAGGTGGGTCTGTGTAGTCAAAGAAAACAGGATCAACTGAAGGCCAGGCTGGGGTGAAGGTGCTTGGCAATTTGAGAGTTAGGCAGTAGAGGAAAGCAACCTCTCCTGAGCCACTGCTTTTGTGGAATCACCTTGCTTCCCCCTTTGTTTGGGGGTCTAAGAGCCAGCCAACTCTCCTGCAGTCACTGAGTGGGAGGCAACCCTTTGTGCTCAGCTCGGGAACCCACAGGGATTCTCAATTGATGCATGTCTCATACCTCTGAAAATACTTCTCTTTGAGGGACGTAGGGGGTAGAAGACAGACAGTATTGTGTCCCTCTTCTACAGCTTTATCCTTCTCTCAGCCTTTTTTTTTTTTTTTTGTAATCTCTTATGACTTGCTAAAAAACCAAAACTAACCAAGTAGTCAAAGCTCTATAAAACCTAGATAATGTCTGGTTCTCTTAAGTTTTTTAAAAAAATATTTTTTTAGGTGTAGGTAGACACAATACCTTTATTTTATTTATTTATAAGGGGTGCTGAGGATCTAACAAACCCAGGGCCTCACTCAGTGTTAGGTAAGTGCTCTACTGCTGAGCCACAATCCTAGCCTTTGGTTTTCTAATTTTAACCATTTTTCCCCCTGTTATGTAGTATTCTTTTAGAAATCTAAGGGGATAAAAAAATACTTAACTCTTCAATGACTTTAGAGACTCATGAAAGATGCTGAGAAGAAAAAAAAAAAAAACACAGGCAGTCCCTTTCCAACCCAATTGTTCCAACAAATTGTTAAAAAGTTAAAATTTCAAGGACTGACAATATATTCAAAGTTATTCAGAGGGGGAGGGGGAATGAAGATTGTTGTTGCCATAGAGCTTAAAAAATCTGAATCCATCCCAAATTTATTCTTGTGTCCTTATTTCCTGAAGCCAAACAATCTGGCCAGTAAACAATTTTCATGCCTCATGGGGTCCTGGTAGAGGCAGCTTCTGGCTTGTAACTGTCACCCTAAAGATGAGAGAGGTTGAGGTAAGCCAGGCATCTCATTTATAAGGGCCTGATTTCTCCACATGGCCTGACAAAAGGTCAGGTGGCCTCTTAGTTTGTAAGCTGTATGACCTGGACCTCAAATAAGGGAAAGGAATCTCTATAACTCAGGAGAGTCCTGCCTCCTGCCTAGGCTAACTAGCCCTCACTTACCTTCCCCCACAAGGCAGTGGGCCAGGGAAAGGAGGTTAGAAGGACTATTACAGGGAACACAGAGGTTCTAACCTGAAGAGGGTGCAGGACCCACAAGGAAAAGGGAGGGTGGGTCCTGGAGATGCTCAAACTCACCCTACCTCCAAGAAAACAGCCAATTTACTACAAGAGGCTGTGAGCAGGCAGCAAATTATTAGTAAGCCAATCCTTAAGAAACAAAATTTACTCTCTTTTATAAAAGGTAATTAAGAAGCTGGGGATGTAGCTCAGTGGTAGAGCACATGTGTAGGGCCCTGGGTTCAATCCCAACCAATACAATAATACAGTAATTAAGGATTATCCATGTTCAAAATTTTGACTGTATAACAGAATATATGAAAGGACAATTTAGAATGGAAAGATACTAGTTGTCATACATGGATGGTAGCTAGAATCATTAATTGCTGTTCCACTATAATAAAATGGCAGATGATCAAAGTGTGCAATTTTAGCAATCCAAGAAAATTTCTGCAAACAGGGCCTCTCTAGCCTGTCAGTACCTGCAGTATTACCCTTACCCTACTTTCAAAAGTAGGCAGCTGTTCAGGAACAGTTAATGAGGGCTACTGAAAAGATCTGTGTGTAAGACAGGATTTCCCAGTACTGTCCAATCTGATCTTCAACTCTGGGACTCAAGTGATCCTCTAGTCTCAGCCTCCCAAAAAGCTGCTTCATCTATGAGTTTTTAAAATCAGTTTGTTCAAGCAAAATGTTTAACTCATGTTAGACATTCACATTGTTGCTACAGTTTTTTAGGCTTTCTAAAGCAACTTATGCAAATTTCTGCCTTTCAATATTACTTTTAAGGAGCTAAAATTATTTCATGTTTCTTTACAATATGCTGTGGATGCAGAGCCAACTATTACCATCCCCATTTGTAAACAGGGAAACTTAAAGGACTTGCAAATCAGTTATTGCAAATTGGTTCAAAGTCAGGGTTCCTCTTTTCCACTCTGCTGCTTGGCTGCAAGGTGCCCATTCTGAAACTGTCATTTGCCAAAACCCTGGGGGGATTAATATCGGAGTTTTGATATGAGAACTAAATCCAATCCTTCCCTCTTTCCTCTAGCACCTCCATCTGAACAGTTACAAATATTATGTAAACATTCATTCTTTATTTGCTGTAGTGCTTATAAGGAAGCTTCTCCTTCCATTGTCAGGTGAATAAACTGAGATCAGTTTAATGGTTCCCAAAATAACAAGGTAGTCAGTAACAGAGGAAAATAATAAGATTGGATTTTTAAACCATGTGGAATACACAACAAGAAAAGATGTGATTTCTGATATTCCACATTCATGTTTGTACCATAGATGGTTTCTTTGTTAAAAGGCTAATCTCAAATGACAAATAATGCAGATTAATTTGCTTAGTCATGTATTTGAGATCAGTATGGTAGATAAAGGTGAATCAGCAAGTGTTCTAAGATTTTAAAGAAATTTTAGTGGGTAGAATTTTTTTTTCAAAAAGATTAATCAGGATAAAATCTAATCTCTGTAAGGGAAATCATTATTTTCTGTTCAGTTGGAGAATAAAATAAAGACTGTTGAACATATAATTCAGCCATGTCCTCCTCTAAAAATAGAAACAAGAAAGCAAACTAAAACATTGATACCTGGAGGTGCATCCTATTTTAAATAAATCTAACATAAAAATTCAGATTTTCTTAAACACTTAAGATTAAAGTATGATTCTAATTCAAAGGATTTGTTTTCTTCAAACCAGGAGGCAAGTATTTTCTGTTAAGTCAATTCTGTAGTTCTGGTCTGGAGCCTCTGTTCTACTTTCTGTGTGTAGGACAAATGACTTGCATGCCACAGTTTCCCATCATTTTAGGAACAAACAGGATTACTGAGAGAGGTTTCCTGAGAAAGCACACATTTAAATGCTTCTGAAATGTGTACTATCTGGGTTTAGACATGCTACTCCAAAATATAACACCTTGGTGTGTGAGAAAAGAGCAGATCTCGGCCTCCTCTGCCCTTCCTCTTCTAAAACAGACTCACACACACACACACACACACACACACACACACACACACACAAATCAAGCTGTCCTTCTCCCAAAGTAGGTCATAAACTCTCATTCCAGAGGGGTCCCAGAGGTCCTCTCAACATTAAAGAAATGTTCCATAGGAAAGAAACCAAACAGACTTTGCTAAGCCCCCTACCTCAGTTTATTGCTATTAGATCATATACCACTTTGTGCAATTGTATTTCTGCACAAATTATTCATTTAAAAAAAAAACCCACTTGGTTCTGTCTTTGGGTCTTCAATTCTGAAATCTCCCATGTCACTCAATTTTAAAGTATAGATGTATACTTTTCTCTTGTTAATCTGTTCTTTTGTTATATGAGTCTCAGTCATAAAACTAACGATAGATGAGGAAAGCAATCTTTTCTCTCTTGCAAAGGCAATATGCAAAAATGAGATAAAGTTTTTAGAATTTGGGTCACAAAAGTTTTTCCCACTTTTTCATGAATTAATCTGTTCTAGAAAAAGGGATAAACTAGCATGTATGCTTTTATGTACAATGTGTTGTAGTTCAGAGTTTTATTCTGCTAATTTTACCAGTAGTGCTGAATTTGACTTTTTCTGCTTGTTTCTGATTGACCCAGCTAATAAGGATCACGACAACAATATTGTGAGTTTTCCAGCCATTTGTTCCACTTGGACACTACATAATGTGCTTTCAATATTTTCTAACAAAGCTGATGATATATTAGGAAACATTTCAAATTAATAATGACTCAGGCACAACATCTGAACTTTTTCTTCTAAGAACACCATGGACATATTATAGAGCCCACTTAAGGGGAGATGGAGGTAGGTACAAAGCAACTTTACCTCTCCCTTGCTAAAGGACAAGCAATTCAGGTCAAAGCAATTGTGAGAGTAAAGCTGGGGTAAAGTGGGGTTAGTTGAGAAGGTGGAAGAATTCCAGATTGCAGAGTTATAGGACTCACAAGATAACATAATTATCTCTTTGCATGTTTGCATGTTCATCTGAATGATATGATTCCTAAGCCATGAGGGGGAAAAGTATCTTTGTTTCTGGTCAAATATGCAAGAATACCCAAAATAATGAAATGTTTTTAGGATTTAAAAAAAAACTAGATTTATTTCTATAATAAATTTTGTGAGCAAGCTTTATTACATAGTTGATTAAATTTATTACATTTGTGAAATCAAATGGACAAGCTTCTACTATGGTTCCATTACCTGTACCTAATAATATTTTTTTAAAAATGATCTATGGATT